TGAGAAACACTGTGTATCCAGGTAACTAATTACAAAGGATTTAGAAAATCAATTCTATACAATCTCTGGGGTAGGGAACACTGAGCACTCCAGAAAGGCCTTCTCTAGGGGGTGACACAAGGTGAATCTTGAAGCTAAGGACTCTAAGAGGTAGACCAGTTGGGGGGTGAGGGGAACAGCTGGTGCAATGTCACAGAAGTGAGAGATGAGATGTCATAAATGGGGACAATCAAGTGGGTCCCTTTGAGTTCAGGTTCATCACATTCATCATGTTCATCATCCGGGCAGCTAGGTAGAGTTCAAATGCGGCCTCAGACACTTGATACTTACTAGCTGTGTGACCCTGGGCAAGTCACTTAACCCAGATTGCCTCACTACAAAAACACATACATTATGTTCATCGCATTCAGGAGGGGTAATGAAAAAGTCTGGAAAGATGGGGTGTCCAGGACATTAAATGCCAAATAATATTAGTATGGTTTGCTTCACTCTGAATCATTTCAGTTAAGTCTTCCCATACTTCTTCGTATCAGGAGAATCACTTAATACCCAAACTTTTGATTTGGATTTGCTCAAAATTGATGAATTGATATATCAGTAAATGTGTAATAATTTGTTCTGAAAAGGTTTAAAAAACAAATATTAGCCGTTGATTTCATTTGCATGTGCCAAGCAAACTAAACCATCACCAGACCCTTAATCACCATCTCCCCTCAGACCCTGAGCTGAAGAACCTCCCTTCCAGGCCAGTGCCCTTAGCCGTCCTCCCTGTGGAGATGCAGTCTGGGGATTGCTTCAGCAGATAATACAAACACAGAAAGGAGAGTTCATGCCACCAAAAGTCCTTGGCCCTGTCTAATGGTTCAACATCAGAAAATGAAATAATTTTATCAGTAGAAATGACTACAGAAGAGGCCTGACCATCTGCTTTGCCACCATACCCCAAGGACCACGGGGACTTTCCATTCGATGTAGCTGAAACTTTCCTATGTGTTGTCTCATCCATAGAATGGGAGCTCCTTGAGGGAAGGGGCTGTCTACTTTTCTAATTGTGTCCTTAGCTCTCTTCATTACACCATACTATTGCCCACTAGCAACTCCATGTTATATGAGTGATGGGGTAACTGACACACAGAGACTTCCCTGGGTCATTTCCTCAAATTTCTCAATACCATCATTACTCAGAGAGGGTCTTCCTTTCTATGCCATTTCCTGCCATTATCCTTGGGGAACTTCAATTCATGTTCATAACTCTCCTGACAAGCTGACCACACCAATCCTCGATTTTCTCAATGCTAGGAACCACCATCTATGTCTTGCTTCAGTCACACATCTACAGTCGCACACTTCAGAAATCCCCATCTCTTAGAATTTCATCACCTTTAAGATCTAGGATTTTAACATTCTAGTCAAATTGGCCCACCAGCTATTCTTCATATTGCTATTGTTATTCAATTACGTTCAACTCTTTGTGACCCTGTTTTCTTGGCAAAGATTCTGGAGGGATTTTGCCATTTCCTTCTCCAGCTCATTTTACAGATAAGAAAACTGAGGTGAGCAGGGTGATGTGATTTGTCCAGGGCCACACAGCTAGTAAGTGTCTGAGGTCACATTTGAATTCAGGTCCAAGCCCAGCGCTCTATCCACTGTGCCATCTAGATGTCCTTCCTCATATACAACATTCTAATTCCTGTCTCTATCTCTGCACAGGCATTCCATGCCTGGAATGTTCTCTGCCTCTTGAAACACATAGCTCACTTCAAAGTTCAGCTCACATGCCACCTCTAATGTGGAGTCTTTCATGATCCCTGAGCTGAAAGTCCCCCTTTACTTTGTATTTGTATTTACTTACATGTATTTATGTTGTTTTTCCCAATATGACAAAGGCTCCCTGAGAGCTGGGATGTCATTGTTTGCATCATCAATGACTAGCACAACATCCAGTACAAAGTAGGCAATTAACAAATATTTGTCTATTGACTGATTGGTGGGTGGATGGATGGATGGATGGATAAGTTACTAAGGCTACTATTTCTAGCAGGGTCCTGCCCCAGCGGCTATCCCTGCACTCCTGCACCTTCGATCTCTCTTACATCATTGCCTCTTACCCATTTGCCTGTAAACATTCTGGCTAAGGTCTCCCACTGGAGTCCTAAAAAAGCCTTACCTTGGTCCTTCTATCTTATCCAGCTGCTGTCTAAATCCTTCTTTCTTACTCTGGTTTCAGAGATTACATTGTTACCTAATTCTTCTCTTTTTTCTCACTTCCCTCCTCATTCTCTTCCTTCAATGTGGGCAGTTCTTAAGTATCTGGGCTTTGCTCCCCCCTTTTCTCCCCCTCCTCTCGTCTCCCTCTCTCCACTCTCATGTCTCCAACTGCAGTTCTATGCTTATGACTCCCATATCTCTATTGACCTTCTAAGGTCTTGACCTCTCTTCTGAGTTCCAACCCTGTATCTCTAACTACCTTCAGGACATAATGGCCCACCAGCAGCACCTTAAGCTCATCGTGTCTAAAATTGCTCATTAGCCTTCTCACTGACTCTTACTCTAATTTTGTCTTCTTTATTTGTCTGTGACACTGCTATTCCTTTGATCACCCATGTGTGTAATCCTGGAGTTATTTTTTGACTCTTCTCTCTCCCCCATCTTTCCTATCCCATCAATTAACAAAGCCCTTTGAGACCACCTCTGCAACCTCTCTCCCATTCATCCCCTCTTTTCTATTCCTGTAGTCACCAGGGAATAGAGTCTCTAGTGGCTAATAGGGTCCAGGTCCTCATCACTCGTCTAGGTTACTGCCATAAACCTCCTAACACTTCTTTCTGGCCCTTTCTCCCCTTCCCCTCCAGCTTTCATGCTGCTCTTGGAATCATCTTTCTTATACATAGATCTGGCCATGTTGTTCCTCTGCTGGAAAATCTACAGTGGCTCCCTATGGCCTTCCGAATAAAACTCAAAGTCATCTACCTGGCATTCAGGGACCCCCACAATCTGATATTAGCTGATTTCTCCAGACATCTCATTTCAACCCGCTCCACACACTCTGTACCCCAGGCAAGCTGGGACACTCTATGAGCCTTAAATAAGCACAATGCTTGCTTGCCCACTGTGCTTTCACTCAGGCTGACCCCTATGCCTGCAGTGTCCTCCTCCCCCACCAGTTTCCATTTTTTGTCCTCATCCCCCCCCTCCTCCAGGAAGCTTTCTCTGATCTCACGGTCAGTAACAAATCTCCACCCCCACCCTAGACTTCACGGAGCACTTTGTCTAATGTAGTTACCATGTGTACGTATTCTAGCCCTCTGTGATGTGACCCCAAATGACTCAAACTGTGGATTTCCCTCAGTGCCCGAGCATTGGTTGTTGCTATTCTTGCTGGCAAGTGTAAGGCCTTAAATTGCACAGTTTGTCAGTGATGAGGCAGGATGCAAAAAGCCCAGTCTCCTAATGCAGCTCTTTGCTGCTCCTTCTTAGCATGTAGCTCACTCACTGAGTTCAGGGAGAAAATGCTTGGGTTCCTCTGCACCTCCCCCAAAGGAACAGCCCTAGGGTTTCTCTTTAATTCATGCATCCTGGTGAAAAGCCTGGCTCAGGATGGCTCAGCACAGGGCCCTACATAGAGTAGGTAACCAAGGGCTGGGGGAGGAAGGTAAGGAGAGAGGGAGGGAGGAAAAAAAGGAAGGAAGGAAGAGCTTTATTGGGAAGGAGAGAGGAAGGAAGTGAAGGAAGGAAGGAAGGGATGGGAGGGAGGAAGGGAGGAGGAAGGAGGAAGGAGGAAAGAAGGTAGGGCTCACAATGTCATAGCAACCTGTGGAGGAGGAAGCTCCTTTGCCTGGCTGCCACAGCCTTTGCTGTGGTGACCCAGCATCCAGCATAAAGGCCTTTGTGCTGAATGCTCAGGGTCAGTGGAGCTGCCAGGTGAGACAGAGGTTCAGGCAAAGGAGACGCTTTCTCCTTTCATAATCCAACTGGACCACCGAGAGGCTGTCTGGTGAGATGGGGAATGGCTGGTAGCCAGGGGGAGTTGGGGAAGATTTAAATGGATTCCCCTTCAAATTATGACTGCCCCTCCCCCTCCTCTTCCCTCTGTAAATTCTGTTGCAGTCATTATTCCAGGATCTGGATACAGAGATTCCTATGGGGAGTTCTCAGAGACGATTCCATTTCAATTGGATGATGACACTTAGCCAAACATTGACAGATTTAGCCCAGAGAATCAAAGGGGAAGAGGAAAGGGAAAGGGAAAGGAAAGGAGGGGAGAAGAGAGGAGGGGAGGACAGGGAAGGGAAGGGAAAGGAGGGGAAGAGAAGGGGAGAAGAAGGGAAGGAGGAAAGAGGGGGAAGGGAGGAGAGAGAAGGGGAGAGGGAGAGACATTCCAAGGAGTAAAAACGCTCTCCCCTCCTCCCCTGGAACTCATTCACAAGACCTGCGGAAATCATCTATATTCACCAGCTAGCCAGCAGAACCGAGTGAGCACACTGCACCTCGAACTGCCAGCAGCCCCCCCCCCCCATTATACCCAAACACAGCGAGATTAGAGCACTACACGCAAGCGATAGCTATTGGTCTGCTGAGATACACTGAGGCTACAACTGCATTCCCTTCATTCTCTTCATCTGTCAAAGAGGAGGAGGAGGAGGAAAGGAGGAGGAGGAGAGGAGGAGGAGGAGAGGAGGAGTTGGAGCAGCAGCCCCAGCAGCAGCAGCCGCAGCAGCAGCAGCCGCAGCAGCAGCAGCCGCA